TGCCAGGAACAGGGCTGGCCGGGCACTTGAGAAGCCAGGCCCAGTACCGGCCGACACGCATCGGGCAGCAACAGCAGCAGCAGCTGCAGGCCGTCTCACGCCGCCGCGCCTCTGCGCACGCGACCCCCTGCCGCAGCCGCAGGCTCTTCACACGCGTCACGCATGCACGCCTCCGGAACGATGTCGCCTGGGCGTGGCCGCCCGACTCCGCCTCGATCGCACGGCATCGCCCGCGCGCGCGCTACCAGAGGCCGTCCTGCGGGCATCTCGCGACGTCGGACGGCGCGGCAACCATGGGCAAGCCGGCACGCGCCGATGTGCTGATCCCCGTCATTGACAACGACGGCCCCAGCGGCAAGGGGCGTGCGGCGGCGCACAGGAGGCAAGCCGAAGTCGCCCTACCGCCGCACGTCGCCGTCGACGGCGAAGCGGCATGCTCATCACCGCCCGCCGCTAACTCCCCGGCCGGCCGTTCCTTGCCTGACCGGCAAGGTGCCCGCGCAGGCTACCCGCCGGCCCACGCTGAACGCGAAGCAGCTGCCTGGAGCGCCGCAGCACCTGCATGAGACTACACGAGCGGATGGGGATCGTGCGCCGCGGCCGTCGGACCTGGCGCGGCGCCGATGAGCGCCGTGCAGTTCGCTCGAAATCACATCGCGCGGCGGGCCTACGCCGCGCGGACGGCCGCATCGGTCGCGGCTTCCTGCCCGTCAAACGCCTGGCTGCGTGTGCAGCAGCACCCGTCGCCCGGCCTCACGTCGCCGCACCTCGTGCAGGTCTGAACAGGGGCTGAATGTTCGCGCCTATCTTCCGAGCGCATGGCCGGATGGCCCGACAGCCGACCGCATGACACAGATCGCGGGCAAGCCGTCGCAAGCAGCGCAAGCACAGCAGCCAGCAACGGGCATGACCGAATGCGACGGACAACTGCGCACCTGACCTGCCACGGGCCACCGATGATGCCGACGGCTGAGGCGGTGGTGAGGACTGTGTCGCAGCGCAGCAGCAGCAGCAAGCAGCAGCAGCAACAACAACGACTAACAACAACAACAACAGCCAACAACAGCAGAGCAACAACTAGCAACAGCAGCAGCAGCACCACCGCCGAGCCCTCCCGTACTTCTGGCGGTGAAAAGCTGCCTTCCGAGAGTACTGCATGAGGTGAGTGTTAGTCGGCGCCCAAAGCCTTTTAAGGCTTTTCTTCCGGTGGGCATTTGCCTGTTAAGTAATAGTGGTGCTGATGCGAGGAGGTTGGTACCCAACTTATTATTTTGCATGCAAATTTCTGCCATCTGCATTTTCACACATAATTACTGAGAGGCCGTGCCCTGGTATACGTCAATGTCAAGTGGCGGCGAGTATTTGATAATCGCCAGGGGCAAAAACTTAAATAAATTAAATAATGCGTTACATTATACAAAATTGCTTTTGTATGTGTGCGCATATGTACATGCTGCTGTGTACGGTTTACTATGACCGGCTGGACCTGTAGGCTGTGTGACAGAGCCGTGTGTTAGCACTTATGGCTATTATATTGCATGATCAGATGCTTCACGTGACAACTTCGTCCGTGTAGTTCGTTGCCCAGCTGCTCCCGAAGTGTGCAGGCATCCTGGCATGGAAGAACGAACCTTGCGTCAACGCATGCAGAGCCACGTCGTAGTCACGGTAACGGGCTACCTCGCGCGCCAGTCTCTGACCACAGACCGACGAGAAAGGATGATCCCGCGCTGCGCGTCGCTCAGCGCCATTCGGACCGCAGCCGAACCAGCCTGGACGGGGCGCCAACTCGCCGTCGACCAGGCGCATGCACGGTGAAACAGTCGGCTGCTATCTGTAATTGGGCGTAGACGGTAGCAGCAGCAGCAGCAGCGGCGGCAGCAGCGGCTCTCTGGCAGCAGCAGCCAGCAGCACTAGCGAGTAGTGTAAGTAGCAGCAGCGATTGGCAAGCCAGCCTAGCAGCAGCAGACTTAGACATCAACAGCCAGCCAGCAGCAGTAAGTACAGTACAGCGAGCGCAACACCCACCAAAAAAAAAAAAAAAAATAAAAAAAAAAAAAAAAAAAAAAAAAAAAAAAAAAAAAAAAAACCAAGCAGTTAGTAGCCAGCAGCAAATCAGCAGCAGCATCAGCAAGCAGCAGGCCAGCAGCTATCAGCAGCAGCAGTTAGCAGCAGCAGCAGCAGCAGCAGGAGTTGTGGCAACTTGAATTTCGATGCACATCTGGGATTACCAGCCGCTGCGCGAACGCGACACCGTAACGGCACGCGTGAGCCGACGCCACGGTTCTCTGTGTTTTAAGTTCGCTTGTCTCTGCGCAGATGGACGCGGAGCTACTGCACCCTTGCTGGCAACCCGTTTTGCGGCCGGACAGCAGTGCACTATGGACATCACAGAAGCTTCCCTGAAGGATGGACCTCATCCCTCTACCTGAGCAGAAGCAGGCAGCTGGCATCGTACACGTCGCCGAGCCAGGCACCTACTCAGACGTGAGCGGTCAGGCCAAACGCACTCAGCAGTAATATATGATATATGTATATAGGTATACTAACAACCTCAAGTGGTTGTAGCATCATGGTGTGTTGATGTTACCAACGGATACTATCATGGTTGTATTATATATATATATATATATAATATATATAATATATATTATGTATGCTATGTATATATATGTAGTGTATATATAATGTATGTATATATATGTATGTGTGTGTGGTGTGTGCGTGCGTGCGTGCGTGCGTGCATAGGTTTCACCTCATGTCTCCATACTGCTAAACCACCACGTCACGTTCTCTCTCTGTTTTGTTGCAGCCTGCATACGTTGTGCACATCTTCCCACCGTGCGACTTTGCGACAGAGAACCTGAATAGGACTGCACCCGATCTCATCCCTAACCTGACCGAGGCTGCCTACCTCGTCATCATCATCACGACAGCGTAGCGGCAGCACCTATACACGCCGTGCGGGGAGCCGGCGAGCAAACAACGACTCGTTGGAGTTCACGTGGCTACTCCTGAGACGACGTCAACGACTCATCGAAACGTGTGGTGGATCCCGAGACGACGACGAGGCGACCGACGCGAAGCGCATGTCGCAGCAAGTGACGACGAATGATCCCGGAGTTATCACCCGAGGAGTGACCTTTGTAGAACTGCATCATGCATGTGTGTGTGTTAGCACGATAGACCTGTGACTGCAATGGCAACAGCAACAACTACTACTACTACTACTACTACTAGAACATGACCAGTGTGTTTATGAGGGGGTATTTCCGGAGTCGCTACGACTTGCGACGAAACAATTTATGCCGTGAACGGCGAACTCTTGGCGCCCTCTGGCGATCGAGCGAAAGTGGATCCGAGGCAGTGATTTGGAGCCACCGCCGCTGTGTCTATAGAAACTTTGCAACGGAAAAAGTATGGGGGAGGAAGAAGAGAAAGGACTCCAGCTCTAGTGACTAGCGACTACATTGTAAATAGCAGGGTTTGGCCGCTGTGGGGCTCTCTAGGAGTGTCCTGTGCGAGGGCGCGCGTAGTGATGCGGGAGGGCGGGAACACGTCCTCCCACGCGCCCTCACATCAAGGTCATCATCACGCCCCGCGCGTACTCTCAGAGCGACGAGTTACGGCAGTTCTTTTGAGTTCGTGGCAAAAGGACGCGGCAGGGCTCGGCAGATGGGTACGCTCGCATTTCCTGTATAAAGTAGTTTGTAGCACTCTCGGCGCGTACATTATTGGCTTCCTTGGTTGTTCTGTAGAGTGGGCGCATGTAAACTATGTACATATTAACGTGTTTTCAACATGTGGAGACATCTAGTGTGTAAATTTGTCACTCTTACACCCCTGCGTTGTATATCACCAGTAGTATGTCCCAGTTGTGTTTAGTTGGTGGGGTCGTCTATTGGCAAGGGGGTGAAACATTATGTAACTATGGTGTTTGCTTGTACATAAGATGGATCACTGAATGCGATTTCACATTTCTTCTCGTACCTGTTCGGTGAACGTTCCCCGTGTAACGTTGAGTTGTATTGATGTATATTCGTGTGCTATTAAAACTGGAACCAAAAAAAAAATTGCCATAATTAATGCTGGCTTTATAGACGAAGGTAATAAACGGCTTGCGATTCGACATGATGTGGTAACATGCGCGCACACGCGCGTCAGCTTTAGTGTGTTTGTCATTGTTTGTTCTCTGAAGCGTGTTCGTCATTGGCTTTTTGTTTCTGTCAGTGAGTGGTGGTTATTCTCTTACGACGACTTTTCCGCGCAGTACTGTGCACCCTCCCCCCCCACTCCCCCGAGGTTGAGCAGTGGTGACATAGTGTCTCTGTTATTTCCTTTGGTTTATTAGTTGAAGTGGGTTGACGAGCTTTTAAATTCTCGTGGGTGGCGCCCTCTGATTTCTCCCGAGTACTTTGTTTCTTTCCGATCTCGCGTGCGTTGTCCGGCGTTTAGCTGATTTCACGATCAGCTGTTGCCGGCTACGCATCGAATAGGGCCACTTGCATTTTGGCTATTATTTCACTGCTTCGATAGGAAAATATCTAGGTGTGCTAGTGTGTGTGGGTGCATGCGTGCGTGCGTGCGTGATCTTGGCCCTTGTAGGTAGCTCTGGCTGGATGCTACGTTGGTGTTATTTATTTTCGAGCCCGTTGCGATGATTCCTCGATATATAGCTGAGTTAGGGCGTTTACATCTGTCTTCTCGTGTACTTCAACTATCTACTTCAGAAATTATGTTTCCACTTTAAAGTCTTTATCACATCAGAAAAATATTCGTGAGGGTCCTTGCAGATGTACTGCAATGTAAAAAACGACAGCAGCAGCAGCAGCAGCAACAACAACAACAACAACAACAACAGCAGCAGCAGCAGCAGCAGCAGCAACAACAACAACAACAATCCTGTCGTCACTCTGTCTGTTGGATGTTATTAGAATTCTTTAACACTTGTCAGTATATATGGTGTGTGTACGTGTGTACGTGCGTATCAGTGCGTGTTTGATTGCGTGTGAGTGGGTGTGTGTGCGCGTGTGTGTGTGCGCGCGCGTCTGTGCGTGTACATGCCACATACTGTGTGTGCTACAGAGCCGTCCCTGGAACACAGCCTATGATCTGACCCCACGACATCACTGAGGTCAATCAGCAGGGCAGTGGGCAGGGTGCGAGCGTTGAATTTCCGTTATCGTTTTTCCCTCGCATTGGATTTGACGTTTACATTGGTTTACCACTGTATCATTGATCGTTATTGTCTATAAACACGTAGTGGAACTTTTTGCTCAAGTGATACGATTGAATTTAAAGGATATATTTTGCCTGTTATGTTACAACACACTGTCGTCAAGCTGTACCCATGTGTAACTACTCTATTTTTGATGTAATGTAAAAATACAGCAATTAAATGCATACACATACCGTAAGTGAGTCGCATATTTTCACCCCCTATGTTGTAAATAATTTCAAAACCTGTATGTAAATTGTACGCGTTCTTTCAAATGGCTGGAAAACTGTTCCAGCATATCAGAGCCGTGTTTATTTCGGATAATAAACTTAATATATAAATATGAATATAATGGCCTTCACTGTTTTTTTTCTTTCTATGCGATTGTGGATGTCTGTGTTGGTAGTTGTCCCTGATTTTGAACAGAAAATTGTTATCTCGTTTTACTGTTTTCGACACTTTTCAGTTCTAAGAGTGTAAATATCAGCGTACTACACAAAAATGCTACTAAACAACTTTCTGTAATAAGAATTGTATGAGAACATTTATTATAGTGATAACAATATTTTAATAGTAAATCGTTGAGAGTATGAGAATCGGAAATATAAATGTCTAAACTGTAACACAAACATAAAACGACAATTTCAACGTTGGAAGCTACCGTGCTTCACATTCATTATTCATGCGTATTGTTCGGCGAGAGATGGCAGCACAAGGTTGGCAGGCAGACGCAAAGATTCTAGAGTGCCGTTCACTCACTGATCTCTATAATAATATATAGTCATGATATTATTATAGAGATCAGTGCGTTCACTCTACGATCTTTGGGCAGACGGCACCAAAGACGCCACTGCATTAGAGCCACCGATCTCTATTATACTAACTAGTATAATACTAATAAGTTAGTATAATAGAGATCAGTGATTAGAACTTGTCAAATGCTTTCGTTAACGGTCCTAGAACGCATTGCATGATCGAGAAGTATTTATAACTACCGACCGTATTTATAATTTTATTAATATGTGTATAGCCTCGCTGCCAAAATTTAGAGAATATTCATTTGCATTAACTCTGAAGCGGTGAGCAGATTTTCCGACAGGTTGGTTTCCTTTTTCTTGCTAACATCAGATTCTGTCGTTACATTCGAGACTTGGTCATTGGCTTTCTCGTTAGAAGAGTTATCGTGCTTGTCATCGTTTCGCTTCCTGTTCTTGTGACGCTGTGCTGATGTCGCTGACGACTCAGTAGCCGCATATGCCTACCACACAGATGTAATATTATTCATTACTTTAGTATTACACTTTACTGCTAGGAATCTAATTATTTCGATGTAAAACATTAGTTTTTTTTGTTTTATTAACATGCACTTGAAACTAATAGTGTTTACTATTACTGATTACTATTACCAGGAGTAGATAAAGGGAATATTCCCTTTATCTACTCCTGCTATTACTAACCATGAATTATTTTGCAATGAGTAGCCACTGACCCTGATGGTGATATAATATTGGTGTAATCTTACTGTGAGTCAGTGTGACTATCAAATTCATGAAACTGCATGATATGGGAATTTGGGAGATACGGTCGATCGCGCATGGTACAAATTAAAGTGTTGAGAGCGTTGTGGTCCAGATAAACGTGGTCATGAAATAACTCGTTTACCTTCTGCTTTTTCGTTGACGTTCGCTGAATGTTCTTCAGTTGGAAGCAGACGATTCCGGAGAAAAACAGGCAAATCACGGCCAGGCACGTGAATCCTGTGGCCCACCACATACGTTCTTCGTGTAGACAGACACTGTCCTCCCGCGACGATGCAAGTTTCATCGCCTCGTAGGCAGCTGTGAATAAACGGACAGACAGTAACGGGGGACAGTCTAACTGGTATGTTGCGTTTATAAATTAATACGCTGACTGTTACGTCCCTGTGATTTTCCTGTTACGTAGCGCGTTCTTGCGTATATGTGTCATGAAGATGAGCCACAATGTCATTTGTAGTACTCACAAAGACCTTGTAATGATATCATTATAAGCCTCATTATAATCATGCAGTACATAAAGTTCAAGGGGCTATGCAATAGGCTTAGCTTGACACACCGTGATATTATTTCTTTGTTATTATCGGTGTTAGTGTATCATGTAACCGTAATAAAAGGCTGGGCAAAAATTAAAAATTATACGATACTACAAGAATAGTCTAGCTATGAAATATGTAATAAAAATGGAAAAAGATTTGGAGGATGCGGGTATCGATCCCGCTACCTCTCGCATGCTAAGCGAGCGCTCTACCATTTGAGCTAATCCCCCAACGCGTAAACTTTCTCCCTATGCTCTACTACTGCCTGTTGCAGCGCATATGTGATGTGTTGCAGTTGTCAACGTGGTCATACGTGTACTCCTGTATTGCAATATAATCAGTACTTTTAGACATTCATATAAGCAACGATTGTCACGTTAGTATACGTACGTTCCCCTGGCATAACAATGATGACATCGCGGTACAGCTGGACCGTCGTGGAATTCTTGCCGTCCTCGTCTTCCGATTCGCCGTGGTCGCCCATGACGTAGCTGGATGCTGCCGGCAGCGGCGGATCTGCGTTTTCCATCAAACGATCGATCTCATCCTGTTCATTTGACCTTCGCTTCCTCTTACTCAGCGTAGATGCTTCACAGTCATGTTTCTGTCGCTAACAATATTATGCATATATATACAATTAAATGATGCGTAAAAATCTTTGTTTAATAGACATATCATATTATTATATTACTATAATACTAATTAATGACTGTTTTTTATATTACTGTTATATGACTGTTTTATAAATTGATATAGAAAGCAGACATACATAATAAAAACATTTATATTATGTCTTTCAGAAAATATTTCACTGCTACTAGTTAGCAGAAGTATATGATTATCATTCTGCTATTCCTGTATGTTCTGCAACTATACGCCTAGTGATAGAACATAGGGCCTATTGTAACGTTTCCCCATTGAGCGTGGTTGATCATCGTATATATATATATATATATATAGTATATATACATACAGGTGTATATATAGCACTATCATAATGCATTTTACATGTTTGCTCAATCGCATATAAACTTGCACCGTTCCCAATATTAATGTCTGTTCGAATTTAATTCTCTTGTATAGTAAAGAATTAAATATTATATAAGTTCTAAATTACTATAGAATAAATACTAATAAGTACACCAATATGTATGGTACTATAACGATCATTCTATCCAGGAAACAATGGAAAGGGTCTATATGGTCAACAAATTGATCGGTTTGTGATTCAAGAAACAATTGTAAAAGCAGTTCCGGTTTCGCTAAGCGCGTTTGCGTGAGTAAATACGTTTTAATTCTTGAAGCATTTCGCGCGAGCGACGTACGTGGCAAAAGGTGCGGCGAGGCCCGCAGAAGTTGAACTTGACGTCGCACTGGAAGTACAGCGTGTTCCTGTCCGGGAATTTGAACATCTTGAACGAAGCGTAGACGTAGCGCTTGCCATCGGCTCTCAGCACTCTCAGGCTTACAGCCCGCTCGTAGCCTCTAGGCCCGCGATTCACCTGGCAACTACACACGCGCAAATATATTTCGTAAAATAGTCGCCAAATCAACAATATATATATATATATATATATTTGTATCCTTTATCTATCTACCTATCGACCGATCTATGTATGTATGTGTGTGTCAGTGTTGTAGGTCTCGAGGCCGGTCTTGGCCTCGGAGTGCAATGACTCGGACTCGGACTCGAGCCCTCCGTAATCGAGGACTCGGGTCGAGGCCGGCTTGAGGCCACTACATAGGACATAACTGTACATATTGTAAACACGCAGTTTACAATAATTTAAAACTAAAACTCCTACCTAATACAAACGTGACAGATCCAGGGGCCAGGAGACACCCCCCCCCTTCTTCAACAAACACATATATAGAAGTGAGCGGCCTAGTCGATCTGTGCCCCCCATTTTTTTTTAATCAAAACTGGACTCGGACTCGGGTGGTGCGGACTCGGACTCGGACTCGGACTCGGGGGGTGCGGACTCGGACTCGGACTCGGACTTAGGGGGTGCGGACTCGGACTCGGACTCGGAGGGTGCGGACTCGACTACAACACTGGTGTGTGTA